CTGGTACCAACAGAGAGATGGAGAAACTCCTAAACTCCTCATTTACTATGCTAGCACTCGAGCATCAGGGATTCCAGGTCGTTTTACAGGCAGTGGATCAAACTCTGACTTCACTCTGACCATCAGTGGAGTCCAGACTGAAGATGCAGCAGTTTACTACTGTCAGAGTCAACACTATATCAACAGTCAGCATGTGTTCACACAGTGAAAAAGCGTCGTACAAAAACCTCCCTCAGTCAGACTGAACAGAAACTGAACTGACTGCTGCAGCTGGAAGCTACTGCAGAGACTGATACACTTCACTGAGGACACACACACACACACACACACACACACATATCATTGACCTTGATTAAACAAAACAAGGTCAATGATAAAATATATTGTTGAATAATAAATTAGTTTCTCCATCACAACATCTCACCATCCATTCATATCTTAATGTGCCATTCTCTTGTCTTATTTGCCAAGTCATCCAAAGGAGCCACCCTGGGACCGTTAAGAAGAAAAGTCTCTGTCATGACCTTTTACCTCAGTCTCAGGCACAGATCAGCATCAGAAAATCTCATAATCAAAATGGCTCACATTTACATGTATATAATTTAATTATAACTGCATATACTTTTTATGAAATATATGCAATAACACATGTTCTTTTACATGCACCTCAAAACTATAGACTGTAAATAAAAAGCTCAAAACCAGACAAGTGAATCGAGATCAAAAGTTCATTCTTAATGGGACTATATGTAAGTTTTTCAATGAAATTAATCCAGCTTCCATTGCCTTATTGTCAATGGGCGCAAAACTCAGTTAGAAACGAAGCACAAGCCTGTTTTCTCTCCTGGTTGCATCAGACACTATTCTGCTTGTAATGTGGGGACACCGGGTAAGATTCAGCTCTGTTCGCGCTCCTGAGCCTCTTTCATACTACAGCAACAACACGGCAGTTAAAGACATGCATTCCACTAACACCATAAAACCACCGACTCACAGTAAGGATACAAAACAACAATAAAGGCTTATGTGCTGAAGGCCATCAGACCAAACAGGTTCAGATGATGTTTATCATAATGGTGACACCTCTTTGTTTTGAGTTAAAACAGGCAGAGTACGAGGGAGGAAACTGTGGTGAGGTTAGTTTATCTGCAGTCTTGGATAAATGAGTCTCCTGTAGTAGGACAATGTCTGCTTGCACATTATTTAGATTAAAACAATTTAATCTTTTCCCTTGAACCAACTCCGCGAACATTCCAAGAGGTGAGCTTAAGTGTGGTCATCATTCAACTAAGCTTGATTTATACTCCTGCCTAGGATCTATGTGCGAAGCTACCCGTAGGCTACGCACGTACCATGCATTTATACTTGTGCATCTCTTGTCCGTCTCTTTCACGAATTGTATACGTGTGGCTGGTGTAGCCTTTTCAAATGATATCGACCGAATGGATCACATTCTGATAGTGAAACGAGTCATTTCGCTCGGGTTCTGATGGTCAAATATATTGATCCACGAGTTACAGCCACTGTTTTGGCCGCTAGTAAAAGTTACTTCAAAGCACAGGACACTTTCTATCGGCTCTGAGGTATTGTGAGGCTGCCGACAAATCACAGTGCTTACGGTTTGCGTTACCTCGATGTGTGGTTACATTTTTGAAGAAGTGCACGTCAGGCTATGGCGTAGGTGACAGTGTAGGGTAGGGGGCTACGCAGAGGCTACGCCATCAATTCGTTGCAGAAGTATAAATTATACTTAAGGGATGTAGTGTAGGCTAGTGTGTGTTGTATCCTTGCGTGTGGTGTGTGTGTTGTATGCGCCTGTATGTGTGCATGTTGTATGCACCTGTGTGTGCTAGCGATGTGCCGAATTAAACAGCATGAAAATAGCGCGGCTGATCAACGTGTAAATGGAGGAGAAAGAGCACCATTAACAAAAGAAAGAAACAGTGAAACAAAAACAGAGGAAAACCCACAAAACATTATCAGACAGTCTAGTCAGATAACCACAGTGTTGAGACGTGAACTGTATTTTATAACTAGGCCTATTAACCTGCCATCTGTCACGGAGAAATTAACTGAGAAGGAAAGAGGTAAAAAATTATTGCATAGTGATAAAGCTCACCCGTTGCTGGATTTGGTTCTTAGTGGAAAAAACGGAGTGGTGTCTCTGTCGCGGTACAGCTGGCCATCAAACGTAAAGTTTATTCATCATCTGCAATAAGCTTCTTTCTTATCAGGAACAGGATCTCCTGGGGAAACCGGTTGTTCATGCTGCAGTTGGTTCCTCTCAGCTCCCTGCCGCGGCCTTTAACCAGTTCCTTCTGCTTGAAGTGTTCAAACTTCGCGACCATGGGCCTGGGTTCTCCCAGGCGGTGCACTCGATCAAAGGCAAGCGTCCGGGAGCTTCAGATGATTTTGAATGAAGCTCCTTTGGGGCTTCATCCGCCTTCTCCGGGACAGGCCCGCTGTAAGGAATTTTGGACAGGGGGACAACATTTTCCAAACTGGGCCCCTCATCAACACCCAATCCAGCACCACCTCGACCAACTTCTTAGTTCTAAAACAAACACGGGCAATTTCATAGAAGCTCTTGGCCATTAGCCTTAGTGACACAGATGGAGTCCCTAACAATCATTTCCAAATTCAGTGTTATAGACTCATCCAGGCCATGCTCACATATAGGCTGGAGCCTATCCCAGCTGACATTGGGCGAAAAGCGGGGTACACCCTGGACAGGTCGCCAGTCCATCGCAGGGCCCTTTACTCACCTCAATGATATTAAATAATTTTAGTTCAGTTAGAAACTCCTGCACTTTAGCTCATGTGTTTCAGCAGGTTTCTGCTGATGTTCAAATTTTTCTGAACATTCAGAATATCCCCTACATATCTGTGTTCTCTGACAGGTCCAGAAAAAAAGTCATAATATTACAACAATAATGTCATCATGTATGAGAATTAATAATATACTTTAACAGTCTACCTGCCCTATACTCTGCTGTGCATACACCTGCGATGTTGCGCTGCTGAACGTCTGCAGACACAGAACCGTTTGGGACTGTACTACCAGATGATAGGAGGAGGTAAACGAAACTAACTGAAACTAACTGAAAACACTTTTGTTCAGGCAGAAATCTCACCACAAATCCACACAAATGTTCACTTTAGCACCTCAGATAAAGAGCAGCTCACAGTCCCAAACAGAGGAGACCTGCGCCTCAGATTTTAGATGTTTTTTTTGGAAAACTCTTTCAGTTATTTACTGTGACTCACAGCGCGATATCAAATCGCATCAGCTGTGAGTTCACTAGCCCGACTCGTTATTATAAGTTATACATTTGTTTTTCACCGCGTAAGAAAATGGATGTGTACCGTGAGAAAGTATGAAAATTGTCAACTGCGTGAGTCTAACTCTGGATGCCTGAGAGTTGGTAACTCTGGTGTTACATTATTTAAAGGTTAAGCAAGCTAAAGTTTTGCTAGTCTGCCTGTTAGCTCCTCACCTTCACCTGTCAGACATACATGGTGCTTCTGAACACAGTTTTGGCCAGAGATTTGGCCATTGCCTCCCTATGCTTTTATTTTTCTCTGTTTGTTTTGGCAGCTCTTTTGTGGGCCCCTGACAGGCTGCAGTGTTCGCTTAAAGTGAGGGGTGGGGGTGGGGGGGGGCGGTTATCAGATGACAAGTTTGAAATATGTTTTAATGACAACAATAAATTTATTTTTCATGTAATACATCTAAAAAGTTTTGTTATTTATAAAAGACCGTTAGTAAAGTGTCTAACTTGATCACATTTAAGGGTTAACCATAGACCTTTGCATGGGCCCCAAGGCCTCGGGCCGGGGTCATCTGTACCCTTTGACCCCCCCCTGACGGCGGGCCTGCTCCGTGATGCCCAAAATTACCAGATTATCCCGCATACTACGAGCCTGGAGATTGATGATCGCTCCTCTAATGTTTTTATTTTCCGCCGAGAGCCACATCATTCCCTCCGTGAGGGATTTAACCAAACCTTGGCGGACCTTGTTTTCTGCCACGAGCTCAACCATCCGTTTCTGGCTGAACTCAAGGGATTCCTGCAGACCCTGTAACTCTTTCTGAAGTACTTCCACCAGAGTTAATCGGGCATCAAAGCTAGACGATTTCTTGTCTATTGAATCCAGGATTTCTGTGAAATCTGCACCTTGTGAGGAGACTGCTTCCAGTGATGCTCCAGGTGAATCTTCAGTGTAGTTTCTCTTTGATTTCCCCATGGCCACTCGGTGAAAACACTCATCAATGTAAACTTCAAGGTCCTCCAAACACTCGTCTTCGAGGTCCTCCAGAGCAATTTGACTGTTAATATTTGTTGGCTTAAATTGGCGGATTGTTTGTTTTCATGAAATGTTTGTTTATCTGCGCGCTGCCATGTTTGAATTGCACCAAGTCTCACGAGATTACACAAATGCTGACCGTGTCAATATGTAAATATGTAGGGCAATGCTATATACATATCTACTGTAGATGAGTTGAAAAGTAGATAAGTTACTAGTGGTAGCAACATTTTAACATTTGTTTAGTTTTTTAAAATAGAATATTTATTTCTATGTAAAGAAGAAGCCCGTTTCAACACTTTCTGCCAATCACACACTTCATAACATAAAGTATTACCTCATTTACATTTAAATATGTATTAAATTACCTTTGCTACCAAACAAAAAAGAACAATAAGTTTAATAAAGCTGGTGTCCCTAAAGCTTTAAGGAATCCACAAAGGATGAATACATGCCTTTTAACTTAGCTTAATTAAACATTTCGGGGTTATTATGGAACTTTTAACACAGCATGATCTGTTCTTTTTTTAAAGATATTTTTGGGAATTTGTAGCCTGTATTTTCAATAGAACAGTGAAACCCAGGTTGCTGCAGTAAGGACTCAGCCTTATAAATGGGGAAAGTGCTCTACCAAGTGAGCCAGCCGCTCCCCTGAACTGTTACTTTCACAATAACATAAATGAAAACAAGTATTGTGATGAACTGATTTTAATTGTGTAGAAATAATCAAAATTACATCAAGGAAAATAAACTTGCAATTGAAAAACACAATTAGAGAGTGACTGAGGGGAAAGTAGAGACACAGAGAGAGGGTGTTACAGATTTCAGAGAACAGTAGCAGAGTCCCAGTGAGGTCAGGACTGGGAACACTGGTCTCTCCTCAGTGTCTCTGAGACCAGAGCCTGGGAGCCCTGGGTGGCCTCACAGGTCACAGAGCCCACCTTCCTCCACTGGTCTGCAGGGAGCCTCAGGGTGCTGCTCCAGCTGTAGCGGCCGTCCTTCTCCAGCACCCCGGGGCTCCTGCTCTCCTCCCAGCTGCTGCTGCTGCTGCTGCCGTCCACCTTCCAGGCCAGACTCCAGTCTGAGGGGAAGCCCTTGTTGGCCAGGCACATGAGCGTGGCCTTCCCCTGCTGCAGCTCCTCACTGGAGGGGGGCAGCACCGTCAGGGTGGGACGGACATCACCTAGGAGACACCAATCAGCTTAGAGGACACCTTTGCTGTGTGAGAGCTGATTTTCTCCTTTAAGGAGTTTCTGTCAGATGTTTTTTCTGCTCCACCAGTCACTCACTCACACATTGTTTCACTTCCCTTTAAGAAGCCTCTCATGCAAATCAGCACAGAGAGAATCATCATACAGAACGACCTGAAATATATTAAACTACACTGGAAATAAAATAACAAACTTTCTTATCAAGATCATCAAAAAACTTGACTGTACAATAATTTATTCAGTGGAAACCAAAACAGAAATGATCTGACAACAATCAGATGTTCTTCATCTGGATTTCAAAGTGTTTCTTCACTTACATTAACATCTATAATGATGAGTTGAACCACTAGATACAGTTTAAACGTCGTTACTTTTCAAGTGCAAATTCAGTCACACAGGTATCACTGCTCAGCTGTATCACTTCACTTACTGACAGATACACTGACCACTGTGTTGAAAGTAGTGCCAGTTGTCCTTTCACTATTAATATGGAAATACTGTATTCTTTTTCCAAATTCATATCAATAACTCATATTTATCTTTACTTCAATTTTACATGAAGAAAGTGAATTATATTTAATCACAACAACAGCCATTATTGTGGAGAGCATTTTAAAATTAACTAATCTAAGCATTTTTCATTAAGATTAAAGTTTTATATTTTCTCCACTTCAAGTTGATTACATTTCATTTTGACAGGACTGTGTGAGGAACAGTTTAGTTAAGCTGCTCTGAGTTAGCCTCCATGGTAAAGGAAGAGAAATAAAAACATGAAAAATAAAAGTTTCATAATTAAAACAAGATATATTTATCTGCCTTAAACATTGAAAAGTTGAATTTAAAGCAGGACTTGATAATATTGTATTTAGTATTTGAGCAGAAACTTACTTCCAACATCCAGTCTGGTTCCTCCACCAAAAGTCCACCACAGTGATACAAACTCATTGAGCCGCCGTACAAAAACCTCTCACTGTAGAGAGACACGGCTCTCTGACTTTGTCAGACTGAACTAAAGCTACAAGCCCTCAAGATGCAACTTTACCATTAAGGTTGGAAATAATGATTTCTGCTGTGGCTTAATATTGTATATTTACTATTTATATAATGAGTTGGTAAATTTCTATTACTAAAGTGAACTTTGTTTCTTAGTGCAAATAATTTTAATAAACTTTATACATTAATATGGAAAGTCAAACAGTTTTCTGGCATGCTGATTATAAACGTTGAAAAATAGCTATTGAAATAAAAGTTTTGTTAAAGGTTTGACTTACTTCCAACATCCAGTCTGGTTCCTCCACCGAACGTGTACCACGGTGATACAAACTCATTGAGCCGCCGTACAAAAACCTCTCACTGCAGAGAGACACGGCTCTCTGACTTTGACACAAACAAACTCACCAAAAATAGTTTCTGTTTGTAACATTTTATCAGCTGACATGTGAAAATATGACTGTTTTAATTTAACATGTTAATTTTAGGGCTGGGCACGTTAACGTATTATTATCGCATTAAAGCATTCATGAATTAACAGCGACAGTTTTTAAAAATTATTATTTTGAAAGTCCGTTGCTCACTGGCTCTGAATACACATAGGCCTACAATCAAACCATGGGTCACAGGAGAGGTGGGATGTTGATCAGCCTGCAAAATAACCCAAACAAGCAGCGGAGAGGCTTCGGCAGGTTCTCAGGTGAACAGACAGGGAGACAGCTCTCTGCGAGTGAACGGCCGGCGCTCTATGGATAGTAACCATGGCAACGGCCTCTGTGCGCTACACAGCCGCAGCCTTTAACTTAAATTAAAATTATACACAGGCTAACTTTACCTGATAGGCCTGCATTTAGTTTTGCGGGGATGCTCTGCCATGTGAATTCCCTCCTGTTGATGTCCTGATAACTATTTAGATTCTGGAAACTCACAAACAGCGAGGATCAGTCTCTCTTCCAATGATTGTGCTGCGCGTCTCGTACAAAAAGTTCAAGACAACTCAACTTTGGCAGCAGGCGGGCGTGTGCGTGAGGCGAGCACGACCACGACAGTTTCACGGGAACGCCAGTACACCTTGTGCTCGACCACTTCACCTCACTGTAACAGGGACACTTTCTACTGAACATAGACTGTTTCTATGTTCCCAATCCCAAGAAAACTGGACTCTGATGGTAACTTGTTTCAACAAGCTAGATAAAAGGTAATTCCCTGGCAGTGGTAAATAGCTGTGGTTTAATATTTGATTTGATCACATTAATGTTTAAGTTGAGATTTAAATAAATATTTTATTGCTGCTGTGTAAAGGGATTACTGCTGGTAAAAAGCTCTTTGCAAACCACATGTTATTGCATTTTTGTGTATGTAGCAGTACATTTAAATCAAGCAATACACTACTTTAGAATTCATTATTCAATTTTCAGTTTTCAAGAAAATCATATTAAAAAATTTAATCGTTGCCCAGCACTAATTTATTTTAAATTAAATTTACATTTTTTCTCTATCACTTAACTGAAATAACTCAGAACATATTTTAAACAAAATAATTAACCAAAATCATATAAAAGAGGTTTTTTAAAAATCTTATCAATGGATAAATTGATTGATCCATTGATAAACAGCATCATCAGAGTAATCCAAGGCCCTGCTGGAGTCAGTCAGAGCATTTCCATAGAGAGCCACTTTGCATCAGCAGCACCATGCTCCAGTGCTCTGGGAGAGTTTATAGTCCTGAGAGTTGAACACTGGATGACTGACAGCTGTCCTTCATGACAACAGAAGCCACAGAAATCCTCCTCATCAAAAACATGACTTTGATCTGCGTCCTCATCTGGACTCTCCTCTGCTGCTGCTTCACAGGTAAAGTCCAGAGAATCAAACTCCTCTCCTCTATGAACATCCGTCCCTCTGAAATGAAGCCCACAAAACCATGACGCTGCTTTATGTTTTTGTCTCTGTATCCTCAGAGTCCAGAGGCCAGGTCACAGTGACTCAGCCTGGAGCAGTGAGCTCTGCTCTGGGAGGCTCCGTCTCCATCAAATGTAGGACCAGTCAGGATGTTTTGGGTGGGAGCTATTTAGCCTGGTACCAACAGAGAGATGGAGAAACTCCTAAACTCCTCATTTACACTGCTAGCACTCGAGTATCAGGGATTCCAGATCGTTTTACAGGCAGTGGAACAAACTCTGACTTCACTCTGACCATCAGTGGAGTCCAGACTGAAGATGCAGCAGTTTACTACTGTCAGAGTTTTCACTATATCAACAGTCAGTATGTGTTCACACAGTGAAAAAGCGTCGTACAAAAACCTCCCTCAGTCAGACTGAACGGAAACTGAACTGACTGCTGCAGCTGGAAGCTACTGCAGAGACTGATACACTTCACTGAGGACACACACACACACACACACACACATACTGTACAGACACAATTTCATCTACCAGATTTACCATTTCACCTTAATTGTTTAACCACCAATAAACATTTAGCAAAACAAGTTCAATGACAAAAAATGATGATGTGGAAATCAAATTACTTTCTCCATCACAGCTTCTCCACATCCATTCATATCCTATTGTAATCCCATGTTCATATCTCTGTTCGTATTTCCAATAAATTAAAAAGATCCAATCTGGGACATTTAATTAAAAAAAGGTTTTGTTATGACCTTCGACCTCAGCTTTATACTGAATAACAGAAATCACAACAAAAATGTGAAGACACAGATCAGCATCAGAAAAATGTCATGATCAAAACATGGCTTTAATTGTATAAACCTACGTTAACAAAAGATCAATATGAATTGGACCCAGGACAACAAAACATAGGTGACCTACTTACAGTCATTTACAACCGCTAACATTATTTTGTTCAATCTATAGTTACATTTTCAATACTCTAAACACAAATAGGCCAATATTGGCATATTCACACCATACCATTAACCAGAGATGGGGACTCAAGTTAGAGACTCGGACTCGCGGGTGCATTAATGCATTTACCACCACTTTGTTGCTCTGTTGGTTGGCCTTCATCACAATCTTTTTGAAAATGTGGGTGCGTACAGGTCACTCCAGCCTGTAGCAGTGAACAAAAAGAAAACATGTTTAATATTTCCAAGCGCTTCTTTTTTTTTAGTAAATATTATTTCACACAACAAATCAAATCAAACTTTGTGTTCACTATAGCTATAGACTCTCATTCAATTTGCACCTCAGACATGAGGTCACAGTTTAATGTTTTAACCAGTGTATTCAAATTCCAACTTATGGGCCTGTTGTCAGTCAGCCAACTCCGGGCGGACTTGCATCCCCAAATCCATCCGTTTCCAAATCACTTTGCTTCGCCATGTGTATATGTCCCCCTTGGTACTGCTAAGATCAGAGAAGGAGAAAAAGAAACAAAACAACAGCGCAGCACTCCTTGTCCAGATGTTTAAATAATTCTCTCTCTCTTTTTTTTTCACTGTCCCTGTTCCATAAATAATTAAAAATTGTTGCATCCTGTCCATCAGAACTGTGTACTGTGCAGTGTAATGAGTCTATGTGCATGTATCCAAAGGTCTCTTAGTGTGTGTGTATGTGTGTGTCCATCCTCACTCACAGCGGCGTGTGTGTGTGTGTGTGTGTGACATGGGGGTCACCAGAGATGGGGACTCGAGTTAGAGACTTAAGTCGCACACACAGTGACTTCAGACTCGATTGAAGACTCGTCCTTGCATTGCACATTATGGTTGTGCTCTGTAAGTTAAAAACAGGTTACAGCTTTATTGTTGACCTTGTAACTTAACAGTTTTATTTAGTTAACTTTACACTGGGTTTGAGAGTCAACAGGGTTTGTTGACTTACAGTAGTTTATAAGCTTATAATAAGTCATTAATTGTAGATGCATTGTACATTAGGCTACATGTTTGTGCTCTGTAAGTTAAAAACAGATTACAGGCTTATTGTTGATTATGCAACGTCACAGTTTTATTTTGTTAACGTTACACTGGGTTTAAGAGTCTGGGGAGTGTTTTGACTTACTTGCTCTGTAAATGAAAAACAGGTTACAGTTACAGAATTCCTTATGGCCATGCAGTTTTATTAGCAACCTGGATTGAACGCAGCAGGTGATACAACATTCATCATAACCACGAGAGACTTGAGACTTGACTTGGACTCTAGATCAAAGACTTGTGAGCATCTCTGCCATTAACACACTTCATGTTGTTTCTACAGAATATGCAGTAAATTAAACCATTTCTTAAATGATATGTTTTTCTTTAGGTACAAGCTTACCCAATAACAAAACTATGGGTGTTTTTTGTGTTATTTACAAATGCTAGCACACAACATGTCAGAAATGAAGATATCATTTCCAAAACCTTAAATAATGTATAAAGCCTCTACTTCTGCTACAATAGCAGCTCAAAATCTATATTGAAACAGCTGATAAGCATTTCTGAATAAACTTTTTTTTTTTGTAATTTAGGTAAAATAGATCATCTAATTAATTCCAATCTCAACCAGAGATATAGACAGGTGTTGAAATTCTTTCAGTATTATACACAATTCAGTAAAAAGGAGAATTTCTGCTGAGATGAGTTTATCCAATGTGGATACAGAACAACACTGAAGAGGAGAGAAAGAAAAAAACCAGGACAGGCATTTTTTCCCCCTATCCACTCTGTGCTTTTTTTGTTTCTGTGTAATTGTGTATTTACACTGTTACAGCTCCTCCCCCTTCCTGATCCTTCTGCAGGAGAAGCCTGAGCTGGGCAATCACCTGTGCAGCTCTACCTTCAGAGCTTATTTAGCCTGGACTGATTAGTCTTTTATTCTGTTTCCTCCTAGGCCGGCGTCTTATCAGGTTTGTCCTGTGTTTTTTTTTTTTTGGTTTATCCTGACAACACACACACACACACACATCTCACTCATCCATTCACTGCCGACACAACTGATAGTCATACTTTGCCACACCACATATTTTTGATGATTATTTGACTTTTCTGTTACTTTTACAATAAATCATCTCTTTAGCATGCGGACCTGTTGTCTCTCACCTCCTTTTTGTCACGGGCTAAGAGCTGGTTTGTGACAACATTTACAATTACTCATTTGGCAGACCCTTTTATCTAAAGCGTTTTACATTTGAGAAACGACATACAAGCATCAATTAAGAATAGATACAGTAAGAGATCTACAACTGACAATAAATACTAGGTAAATACCTAGGGAAAGAAGTAAGAGTCAACAATAGTGCAATCAATCCAAGAGAATTGTAAGGAGATAGAAGAAGATGAAGAGCACAGGGAGTGCATGTTAGAGGTGTTATAAGAGGAAGTGTTCTCTGAAGAGATGAGTTTTCAAGAGCTTCTTGAAGTTAGAGATGGACTCCCCTGTTCTAATGGCATGTGGTAGCTTGTTTCACAATCGTGGTGTCAGAGATGAGAACAGCCGGGACTGTGATTGCTTTGTGTATAGAGAAGGCAGAGCGAGACGGCGTACGCTGGAGGAGCGAAGTGGCCAAAAAGGAATGTCAAAGTATTTGACAGTATTTTTACACATTTTGAACCAAAAGCCAAATAGGTTGGATTATTTGTTGATCACTGGCTGTAATTTCATAGAAGAAGATGAAAACATACTTTATTAATCCCACAAGGGGAAACTCAATGTTTTCACTATGTTATCAATGTTAGTATTTTACATACAGGTCATAAATATTAGGGCTTAGCACCTCTCCAGCTACCAGTTCACACTCCGTGTCTGTGATCTGAGCTGGACTTAA